TATTATAGTCTTATGTTGAGTATCGTTCCTTATTATTAAAGTTGGAGATAAATTAGTGTTTATGGTTGTTAGTGGGTTGATTAGTAATGGTAGAGACTCGTTTTGGTTGATTGATAAGTTGTCAATTGTTTGGTATGATATTAGGATGTTTGGTTGTTAATTTGAGATAGAAATTTTTTTGGGATAGTCCAAAAATAGGGGAAACTCTATCCGATTTTCTGTAAAATAGCGATGAGGCTTACTTGGGAGCACTTGCTCCTAAGCGACGGTCATGATCCTAAATTGGGTCGTGACACCCAGGCCCCTTAAATTAATGGGTTGGTCTGATTAGGGTTTCGTGGGTCATGAGCTGGTGAAAGGGTTAATTTTAATTGGTTATGCGGTCCGACTCGTGGGTCAACCCGGCCCATTTAATAGGTCTAAATGTGACTGCGGGAAGCGTTCAAATAGTTGAAATATGTTGAGAAGAGTTTGCTTGAGATGTGAAAAGGACTATTGAGTGCTCGATTTCTATGGATGTGTTATACGGTCTGGAGTTATGAAGAATATGATGGATTCTTTCATGTTATTTTATTTGTGTAAGGAAGTAGATTCTTATGTCTTGTTGACGAGTTCAGACTCGAGAGGATGCAATGATTGCATAGTGGTCGTGGCCATGAAGGGGTATAGAGGGAAGCCAGTTGAGGCTAAGCAGGTGGGCTATCTCCTGCGGAATAGTCTACGAATGTATGATCCTTATGATGTTATGTGGAGAGTTTTTTTTCTATCAGTGGGTTATATGTGCTACAATTTGAGGATGGATCGGTTGAGAAATTCAACTTGGCCGTCACGAGGATGAATGCTAGATTAGTAGATGATTTGAGGTATTAGATGGTTAGTGTTGCATGAGCTTATAAAGGATTGGGTTGATTTTGGGTGTGGGATTATGGCAGTAATAAAGTATGGGTATTATGAGTTATCGAATGTTTGGTTTTATAGCTTTGAGCCAAGTGGGGGAGTCTGGTATCAACGATTTGATTGCATAGTTAAGTGTTGTACTGGTTTTGGTTTGAGGCATACTTGAGGATCGGTTATGACTTGCAAAGGTTGATTTCGAAGATGACTTGAGTAAGGAATTTTTGGATGCATGATGTATTACACTTTATGGACATATAGAAGTTTTGGGAATGATTTAGGGTAATTGTTCGTGATGTATGTAATGTACTAAGAAAAAGGATACGCTCGGTTGCTTGAATGTGTGAATTACTTGTTTGGGTGCTGGTGTCCTAATGGAGCACAGATCGTTCGGCTCGTTTGGGCGGTTCATTTGAGTATCTAATAGGGGGATGAGTCTCGAGAAAGTTCTAAGGAGTTTAAGATTCATATGTGGCATTTGAGAATTTTTTTTGGATTCCTATATGGCTACAATCTGGGATTTGTAATGGTTGGTGTCGAGATTTATGATATTTCTATGTCATTATAGATTTTACATTTCAGTATCAGGAAGGTAAAGAAAACAATTTTAAATTCACATAAGATCTATTCAGAGTAGGTGTCTCGATTGTAGTGCTTTTGGGGTGCTTAAGAGGAAATACAACGGCTTATGGGCCTTAGGGCAGTGTGATTTTATGCTGGGATCTCTTGTGGTGAGATTTGGGTAAGTATAATGGTATTCTCGCAAGGAGAAGTGTCAACTTGAGTGTAATTCGGAAGGAACTCAGAAAAATAGGACAGCCTGGTAGTAGGTTGGATCAGCACGATAATGGATATGATTGGTTCTTTGGGTACTTATGATGTGGTGAGTCTCTACAGGTGTTTTATGGCAATACTCTCGGGTTTGGCGACCTGCATGGCTTGGTTGAGTTAGAGAGATTCAGTTATAATGGCGTGGTTATGTACAAATGGGTTTCGAAGAGTTCTCAATAGTTTCTACCACGGTTTGAGATGGATATTTCCTATCGGCGTGAGGAGCATGTTGGTATTGTGATTTTCTCCTAGGTGAGATCAAATGGAAGGTTTCTGACTGATTGGGCATGTGGTTTGTTGGTTACTCGGAGTTGGTTATGAGATTCTCGTAATTTTTATATGATATCATCATAGATGTGGTGCATTCTGTGGGATTGAGATTTGCATGTAAAAGGCGGTGGTTCAGTTTTGAAGGGAAGGTCATAAATTCTTAGACAGCATGGATGGTTTCAGGTAATTAGATGAATGTTAGTACTACCTTGTATTGCCTGAGAAAGGTGCGCATTTCAGAGTGAACTGTGTTTTTACTTATGGATGCTTCATTAATATTGTGGTACTCGCCTGGTTGATCGACTACTGATGTTCAGATTTTGCTATGTGGCATGGAATAATTATAGAAGTATTTCTCGTTGGGATGATTATGTATGAGAGGTGTGTTAGTCATTAAAGCGGTGGAGTTGGGATCGACTATGGTAATTCATGTGTTCTATAGATTTGGAGACTAAGAGTTCACATAAGCAGATTGTTTCAAAGTTGTGGACTGTGAAAATGTGGCCAAAGTTAGCTAGATGGTAGTACGTGCTATGGTTAGGTAATTGTGAGCTTTTGAAGGGCCATTTATCCATTTGAGGATGACCGTAATTGATTTCGGGGCCCATTGGTAGGCCCAATGAGGATGTGTATTCTATACCGAGTGGTATACTGATAGTATTGAGGGGTGTGGGCATTCAGTAAGAGTTGAACTTGTTCGTGTTCTGATAAGTTCTATGTGTTACTCTTCTATGCTACGATGGGTTGTGATTTATTGGTTATATGCACACATGATGCCGGTTCTGTTTGGGCCTCATAGCAGAATTCGGGCGAGATGATTATTAGGGTGTTGAATGGTTGATTGTGCCTTGGTTATGGTCTTTCCAGGTTGTGGTATACAGTGTTATTCGCTTCTCCATGTTATGGCCATGCACTTCGGGTAATTGATGTTGAATTGCGCATGGTTGTTGATTTTGAGTGTTGTGTCTTGAGGTAGTTCATATGGACCAGTGTTTGGATGGTGTCACGCATTGCAGCTGGGTTATATTGGGATATGATTCTTTGTGTTAGATTCATATGTCTTGATTCTACTATGTGTGATGGGTTCGTAGCATTGCTCCTATAGTGATATCTGTTGAACTTGCGGGATGGTTCTAGCATTTGAGTCATTTTTCATGTTTGAATACATTGAATTGTTGCTTATTGGTGCATGGATTGCACAATTTGTGGCTCTAGGTAGTATTGGTATGTCATGTCAGTAGAGTAGCTTGTATTTGATGAGATGAAGCCTTTGGGACTGAAGTGATTGTTATTGGATTTGATTACGGTATGTTTGGAAGAATAATAATATCGGAAATCAGCTGAGGATTTGGCTTTGGTTCTTGTTGGACGGGGGATAGAGCTCCATGACTTGTTGATCATATGAGAAGTTATGAGTTTTTGCGTGTTTCTTTCATCATCGGCAGTGTACGAAGGTTTTGAACGAGGTTTTATTTGATATGAGGTGTACTAACGATATCAGATTTGTTTTGAGCAACTACAGTGATCGGGAATTATTGCTACAAATATGTGAGTTGTGTGGTACATCATGTGATTACATCTTGGGTTATGGTTATGGCTTGATACAACGTGTTCAGACTTATACAGTGTGTAGATGCGAGATTCGGGTCTTGTAAGGGATTCCAAATGTTGGAAATTGGGTTCTAAGGCTTACGGTCTAAGGTTAAAGTAATGATTTTCAGTTGTGATCTGCTGTCAGGCTTATATGGATTGGGGTGGCGTGGGATCACCCCGGGGTATGTGCATGGTAACGTCACACGACGATTTAATGGCTTTGAAACGACTCTGGGCACGTTCAAGGACAACATATGTTTAAGTGGGGGAGATTGTAATGACTCGACCGGTCATTTTGAGCATTTCATTCCGTTCAGCCATTTGAAGTCTTGAGTAGCTTCATATGATGTACTATGACTTGTGTGAATAGTCGGTTTTAATTTTTTTTCAGGTGTTTCGGAATTAGTTTGGAAGAATGAATTTCATGTTTGAAGCTTTAAGTTGGAATAGATGACCAAGTTTGATTTTTGAGTATTGACCCTAAATCGGAGTTTTGATAGTTCCATTAGGTCCGAATCGAGAATTCCACAAAAATTCTGATCTAGGGTTAAATAAAGATTAATTAGTATTTTATTTGTTTATGTTTATTAATTTTTAAATAAAGATGAATTGTGTATATTCATATGTTATAAAACAAACAATCTTAAATCATTTAGTATTCAAATCTTAATATTCAGATGTGTATTCAAATTCAGAAATTTTAATCTGGAAAAACAAATGAGGCCGAGCGAAAAACTAGTCCAAACCACTTTTTGAAATTTGAAAAAAATTATCTTTAAAAACTGCCCAAAGACTGGTCATTTTTTATAACCAATCAATATTTCTAAATATTTTTGAAAACAAAAATACTTGTGGTCAACCGAGAGCTAAGAGTCTAACAAAAAAAAAACAATTGAAGGCCAACCGAACCTCTATTAGAATGCCATAAAAGCCGCAAAATAACCACTTCTGATATTTCTTTTCTTTTATCTTTTTCTAGACAGGACAATAGCCACAATGTATATGCGTTTGGTAGGTTCTAGACAGAACTTTGATGTTCAAAAAATCCAAAAAGAAGACTAATTTTTACCTTAAAGAAACCTATAGTATAATATTAATTACATGCTGTGCTAGTCTCATTAGTTATCGCCTTTTCTAAGAATTTATTATATTTCCAGATAATCGAACACCAGCTGATTAGTTGGAGAAAATTGTCACAAGTATAGAGCACATCGAAAGAAGAAAGAAATTATATGTAAACTGCGGGGCAACATGAATTAGTGTGAATATGCTGCAAACCACTGTACAAGTCTAAAGTGAAAGTGGAAGACAATTTTCATTTAATTTACCAAGTCGTACCAAAACAGAGCTTGACCTTGCTATGTACAAAGTACAACCAACATTCTTATGAAATCAGAATTCAGAAGCGCCAGAATCCCCTAAATCAATCTACCTCTCCCCTTCTCTAAATATACAAATAAATACAAACACATCTTCAATGAAAGGATTGAAGAATTGTAAAGATTTTTCTGATGTACACTAGAGACTAAATTCTGATCAATATAATCAGATCTAACCCCCAAAACCTATGGTTCCTACAGGAACTAACAATAGTTTACACAAAACCTCTTTTACAGACAGATGTCTATAACTCAGCATCCATCTGCATAAATGACTTCCGCTGCAGCCAGTTATCATCATCATCTTCTTCTTCTTCTGATGCAAACAATGCAACTGAAATGTCAGCCAGTTTCTTTCTGCTTAACTTTAACTTCCGAATTTTCAATTGCCTCGGAGCATTTGGCGCTTCAACATCATTGAATTCACCCAAATCCTCAATTGCATTCTTGAAACCAAGCGTCTTTCTTGGTGTTGCATACTCAAAATGCCACCTTTTTGCTATCACAGTCTGTTCATTTGACAGAAAAGACCTTAACTCATTAATAAAGAAACCAATTTAACTACTTCAATAATGAAAACGAACGTAATTGAATGATTATTGACACTTACCGCTTCTCTAATTGTCCTTGATACATGGAAAAGCCTCTTTAAATCATCATGATCAACTCCACACACTATCCTTATCTACAAAAAGAAGATAAAAATAATAATTTTCAGTACTGTAATCCACCAGCATTGACAGAATACAAGCAAAATGACATCATAATAATAGACTCAAAATATACAGAAAGGAGAATTTGGCTGATTATACTCACCAGAATATCTTGAGGCAAGGCTTCAAGAGGAGACTTGTCATCACAAAAGAAAAATGAATTGTGACTACATACTTTCTTCATAGGTGTTGTTATTGGACTGAAATCAACATCCACTGTAATTCTTTTCCTCCCAAATGAGGTACTTCTCACTAGCCCCGACCCATAACTTTCACATTTCTTTCCCAATACCATTTTCACTCAATACCTGATTTTTCCAACAAAAACATTCAGAATTATCCAAATCCAATAAAACTCTATCTATAATCTAAAATTTTCTTCCCAACTTTGTTATTTGAACTTAATAACAGAACCTCATTAGCCCAAAACCAAATCAAACATAATGTATCTCTAAGATATCATTACTTAGTGGGTAAGCAGCAATATATATATATATATATAGATACGTACCTTAAAATTAATCCTTAATTTGCGCTGCAGAAGTAAATTAAGATTGAAGTAACGGATGTTCTGAACAAGGAAACTAATGAACCGCCTTTCTACACAACTTAATTGTAGTTTGTACAGCACTTCATTTGGACGAGGGTCAAGTTCCCTTATATACACGTCTTTTTTTACTGTGAACTTTTTACTTCTCTCTCTCTTTTTGATTTAAATAATATTTAAATGTTTAATGGATAAATATGTATGGCTGTTAAAAAGATTTGATCTTGCCTAGAAAGGACTGGAATTTTCCCATACAAATATCTTTTGGGCTTTGTGCTTAAATCTGAGAGAGGGAAAAAAACTAGCCGTTTGAGAAGGACACGTGGCAAGATGAGAGAGGTGGAAAGATTAACGTGGGTAGTTTTGATGACGTGGTAGAGTTGGTCGGTTCCATGTCAGCATGTCGGTAGCTAATATAACACGTTTGATGCTCTTAGACGTCTTCGGTGGATACTACTAAAATCACCTGTCACGTGGTTTTGAAAGAAAAAAGACTAAACGAGATACTGACACGTCATTGAATGAAGAGATGAACGGTGCGGATCTGTTGAGGAAATACACAGGAGTGTAGATGAACGGTAATTGATAGTGACGGTCAAGTAAATTATTCTCAGAGAAGCAGTCTTAATAGGCGGCTGTTGCAATTTTTACACTATGGGGAAAGGGTCAAATGAGGGTCAATGCGTTTACAAGTTGTAAAATTTGTACAATTTTAAATTGAGAAAAGAGAATCCTATGGAGCCGTGTTAAATTCCAACACGGTAATGGATTTGAAAATTTTAGGAATTCGAAATTTAATTTTCTTAAGTTATTCTATTTTAAATTAATAATTTAAATTAAAGTTATTGAATTTGATAAACTCATAAATAGTATGCTAGCTTCGCCTCTGATAACGGAGACATTTGCAGTTTTACTTTTATAGAGAAAAAAAAAAAAGAGGACAGATTTTAAAAAATCAAATTTATTTTAGCTTAATGGTAAGAATAGTTGATTAGGTAATAATATCCTACACCAACTTTCGTTTATAAATTGTTTTAAGTATTAGAATATGGAAATTGTTGCTCAGCTAAAATGTTGGTGGCCCAGAAATAAAAGTATGTTCAGAAGTTTCATGAATGTGTCACTTGGTTGAACTAAAATTCAAAAATGTCTATTTGACCAATCAATGTTTTAAGTGCACAACGAAGCTTTTTAAACTGTTGTATCATGTATCATTATAAGTTAGATTTCTACTATTTGAAGAAGTATGAAATGTATGAAATATTATAACTCACAACTTTAATAGTTGGAAAAAATTGAAATGTATGAAAAATCTGCAATGAATGAAATTATTTGACTCTGGAATAATAATAGTTGCAAACCAATTCAGACAGCAAATAATAATTATCTCTAGAACTTTTTATTTTTATTTTATGTTCAATTTAGACAAACAGATCTTAGTCAAAGTTATAGATGATCTTAAAGTTATTAATTAGTGGCCAAGTAAGACTTAACTATCGGGCGATAAGACAAGGACATCAATAGAGGGGATAAAAAAGTATTAAGTTGAAATCAATCTCTTTATTTCAGTAAATAATTCATATTCAATTAAATACATAATTCAAACTTTTTAGAACATGTGAGCCAACCAATATATTAAATTAATTTTAGAAAATATGTGCATAAAATATTTAATTTTATGAAAAAATTATAAGTTCACGGACATCAAGTCAAACACCATTTAAATAAGGCCTTTAAATAATCCTTTGAACCTTCATGGTCCTTTATTAATTCGTGTTTATCTCTGCACACTTTCTCTACCTTTGGAATTAATTTTGGGATTAGCTACGTATTATGTCACTTTGTATCTTTATCCATTTCTCCAACTAAAACTGCTTGCTCAATTTGAAAAGAGTTCCGCCTTAAATAATGAGTAAACCCATATTATTTTCTGTAGAATTAGCTCTGTAACTGATCTTATTGTATGGGATAAGGTAATATTACGCGCACCGCCTATTTATATCAAATCAAATAATTTAATTTTAATAATTAAAGTTAAAGTGAGAATGCATATCGTTAACCATAATTGAGCGATAAACATCATATATGAAAAATATTTGTCTTGTTTTTATTGATTTAATGTGAACGTCAGGTGGGGTAAGTTTTATTGAAATGAATTTAAGGTTTATGTGAGTGTGACTATCAAAAGAGCAGTTAAAAACTACTCCATTCGACAAAATAAAAGAGAAATTATTGAAGCAGGCAAGTAGGTAATCACCGATGTGAAGAATAGCTAGATTTGAGTGCACTGATATTAGGGGTGTACAAACCGAATTGGAAAACCGCACCAAACCGAAAAGTCAAACCAAACCGATTAAAAACTCCGATTAGGTTTGGTTTGATTTAATTTGGTATTGAGTAAAAAAACTCAAACCAAACCGACATATAAATATATAATTTTTACATATACTTTTAAAATTTTATATAGAATTTTCTTTAAAAATGTCTAGAAATATTTAAAATTATCTTGCGGGATATAATATTTAAAAGTATATGAAGTGCTCCATATTTATTAACCTTAAATAATGGGTTGTATGATCACTTTCCCATCAAGTGTTACTGAAGTGCGTTAATCTCTTTGTTCTTCCATATTCATATCATATGTTAAGATCTATTAAATTGTTATATCTTTTTCGAATATGAAGTGATTATTATTATTTAGGTATCATATTGATTTTTAAGTTTAATTACTAAATTCGGTTAACCATGAAAGTTTACATCAACGAAACACTATTGTCAAACGACTAAAAAATAACTATTATGTGTTACTAAGAAAATTCTCTCATAAGAATATTTTAATAGATAATATGTTTGTCAATTTTTTATATTTTTATTAAAAATATATTACTTATCAAAAATTTAACAAAGTAAGGTTGAAATAATATTTAAGTAACAAAAAACCCAAAAAATCTGAAAATTCCGACAAATCCGATCCATGTACACCCCTAATTGATACTAATTAGGCATGGGAAAAAAGAACCATATTTAGGTTTCTCACAAGTAATGGATGTGTTAAATACATGAATAATTGCGGATGCAACTATCACTATACCATGATGAAATCATTATTAGCGTACTTTAACTTGCATATCAATAATAATGAGTATATATACTAGTCTTTTCATGTTTTGTTAATAGTCAGAGTTACGTACGATACGATTTGGCGACTGTAACCCTAAGTTTAGTATGCCTTCTAAATACATTTGTGTTTTTAGATATCACACCGAGTTCTTATTCACTCACATGCTCGCGTTTATAACCATCTTATAATACTTAAAATTTTAAAATGTCGGGGCAGAATGGAATTTGAGTTTCTGTAGTCTAAGAATTGCTATAATTTAGAATTTATGGGGTGGAGAAAATTTTGAAATATATATATTGTAAAAGAAAAAAAAAAGTAATAGAAGCGATTATAAGTTGTGAGAAGGGGTGGGAGGGGGAAGTAATTAGTGGCTTACTTAGACGCAAATTAGTTTGTAAAACGTAGGGTAGTGAAGATTTGAAGATTAACATCTAAATAATAATAATAATAACAACAACAATAATGAGTATATATTCTTAAATTGTTTAGGTGAATTTAAAAGTTATAAATGAAGAGAAACAATAAAAACCCATATATATGAAATCCAAAAGATGCAAATATCATTTAAAACCAGCAGTACATCATCTCCAATTTTTTTCATTACAACAAGAAGAATATTGATCACTATATCCCTTCTTTGTCTACATATTCTCACCACAACAAGAATACTGCACCATTAATGTCGAAACAAAAAGAGAAAGAAAACACAACATTTTTTTGATGAACGCATGAATATATTCCCGATCCTGCGTAAACACAGGAAACCTTATGCACGGGACTGTCCTTCTTCTGCGCTCACTGCAGGACTTTATGCTTAGGAAACACACGACTTTGATCTTGATAAGCACTAAAGGTAGAGACAGTAGCTAGGTTTGAAACTGTTTTATAATAAATGATATCACTCAGTTTAATTTCATGACGATAATTTTTTGCTTCCGACAAAATCAAAGACTCCAGAGACGTAGCATGCAACAAGAAATATTTCACCAATTTTTCTTCAAGCTCAAGTTTCTTAAACCTCTTCACCTTCAATAATTTGAGTTGTGGGAATTTTGTTTGGCACTTCTCAAATTTTTCCTTTGCCACCATATTCCAATAGCTTCCAACTTCCATTGCATAAAGACCAAACTGCATAATTAATTTTGTTAATTACTCCACTAATTAAATAATTACTGATTAAATCAAAAGTATTTTTTCCTTTTTTTTTTCTTTTTCCCAAGGACGGTAAAAAGTTAAAACAAGATTTTAACCTCATTTATAATAATCTTTGTAGGAAACACATTATTCTACGAGACATCGATAAACTACAAGTGAAATAGATAAAACAAGCTAGTTGTGACTACGAGTTTTAATTCCAAGATGTACGTACAAATTAACGAGAAATGAGGAAAAATGACACAGTATAGTCGATGTAGAAATAATAATCAAAAAATATATAAAATTTATATATTTTTTGTATATATATACATTCTATATGTTACATACAAAAATTATACAAATTTTATACACTTTTTCGACTACCAAATGTAAATAGTTTCTGACACGGGCTAAAAGTGATAATACCCCGCGAAACATCATCAACTGATTCTAATAGTCCAGTTTATTTCTCGTTTTCCTTTTTGATAGTAGGTTTGATTATTTTCTATATAGGAATAGATATCACTTAAATTTGTCTTTTTAAAATATCAGATCTAAAGAGAAAGGCATTGAATAAAAATCTATATATGTTGATGGTTTCAATTTCTTAACTTTTTATTCTTGCGATTAATAAATCATGAGAAGTTTTATTTTCAAGTTGAAAAGTAAACATGGACAAACAAATTAAGACAAAAAATTCACACACACAAGAAAAATTAAGTAATAAACAAATAGCTATTTAACAAAAAAAAATTGTTTAAAAGGTTAGAATATATACTTACATCAATAAAGAGTCTCTCTATGTTGGGACAATTCTTGACAAAACAAAGAATGTCCCAAGGGTTGACAAAGCTCAATCCACGTCTAACCAATTGGAGTTCCTTCAAATTCTGAAAATAGTACTCCACATCTCTGTATTCAAAATCCACAAATCTTGGAGAAAGCCCCTAATCAAATAAAAAAAATTATTTACGCGGATATAAATTAAATTATAAAAAAGGAAAAAAAAATATACGATATAATTATTTTACCTCAAGAAAAGCATTGGTAATTGAGAGAGTCTCAACATCTCTCAAAACTTCCAACAAATCATCCCTATCAGCTATATGTTGAAGCCCTTTTGTAGCACCAAAATCCAAGATCACATCTTTTAATCTTATGACCATTGGATCCACAAACTTAATTTTATTAATCTTACCACTATAATGAAGTGTGGTAATACTTGGAGTATTAATAGTGACCAAAATTAAGTCAATGCAATGTCTAAGTACAAGAGCACTAAACCTATTCAAACCCTCAATGGTAATTTCACCAATCAAACAACAACCCTCTAAAGCCAAATATTCAAGAAGTAAACAGCTTGACAACAACCTTTTAGTAAAAAAAGGTGGCACAGGAATCATACTTAGACTAAGAGATTTCAAGAATTGTAAACCACTCAAATTTTGTGACAAAAATAGTTCACAGCGCACTAATTTTAAGACACGAAGAGTTGGCTCAATGAAAATATCAGATTTTATTTGACAAAAAGCGTAAGGTTGAATTAACTCTACTTGAAAATCTTCAACGCCTTTTGATGCAACCGTTTTAAACCAATTCTGAAAATAAGCAACATATGGTACAGGACAAGTATATAATTTAAAATTATTAATTTTGTCACCTAAGTGCCTTAGTAATATATAATTAACAATTGACGCCTCTGACCATTGTCCCGCTCGACAACGTCGCCTAAAATCTTTATCAAAACAAAGATTACGAGAATATAACCATGAATGTCTATATGGTTTAGCAACAAGAGAAGAAGAAGTAATAGCAGATTCGATAGGTAAAAAAGTGAAAATCCTATCAACAATTTCATTAGGAAGATAAACATTAGAATTATTGGATTCATCATTATTATTTGTCTCCAAAGAGTTTCTCCTAAATCTTTTCCTTGGATTTGGCACCAAAACTCGCTTTATTTTGGACCCTGAACTTGAAGCTCCCATAGCTATTTTTCTAAGTTACAAAAGAGAAATATTAAGACAAGATGTATATAGAGAGGAGGAAATATTAAGACAAAATGTAGTGAGAAGAAAATGTGAGAAACCTATGTATATATAGTGCAGGAATGAATATATTCTTATCTGGCAAAATAAAAACAATAAGAATATAGTCAAATTTCACAAGTAAGTACACAAAAAAGTAATCTATAGTTAGATTACGTTAGAGGGGACTGCTTTATGGCGTTTTACTTGAATTCAGAGCCCCGAAATATCAGATTGTATAATAAACAAATTAATTTTTTTTATAATAGAAAATAATTTAATAAATTTTTTTACCTATGTGATTAATTGTTTCAAGTTTAAATTTGAATTAACATGTAGTATTCTAACGGAAAAAAGACTTAACTAAAGAGCAGATTATACTAAACTGAGTTTCATTACGCCAAACTTATCACTAGGGAGTTTTACAATGTTACGTGATCTGGCGAATGAGCCAAAAACACGATTAGTCTTCGGTTAATTTAAGACTTTGGCCGCATAAGAAAAAAATACAACCACAACAACGATCCAGTTTTATCCTACTAGTGAATCTGGGGAGGATAGTGTGTACGCATACCTTACCCCTACCTCGAAAGGTAAAGAGGTTGTTTCCGAAAGACCCTCGGCTCAAGAAGACGAAAAGAGGTAATATATCAGTACCATCAATAAAAACCATATAAAAAAAATATAGCATCACAAGATGGAAAGCAAAACAATAACCAGTAAATAAAACCCGGCACTAAGAGGAACGAATGAGAAGTGAGAACTCAACACTAACCACTAGCAGTCTAAGACTAAATTCTAACAGACTAGCCTCAGTCTGGTGCGTCATAGAAATACGCATAATACCTCCTAACCTATAACCTTAGTGTTCGACCTCCAACACTTTCTATCTAGAGTCACGTCCCGCATAAGAAAAATTATATTAAATAATATTGGCATAATATTTTGCACCGCTGGCACAATGTTTGTTTTGCAATATAAAACTATATACGCATTATCGATGCAATTTCTACATAACTAATATAACATCTGGTTAGTAATAAAGTTTTTGGTTCTAATACTGCACAATTTATGAGGAAATCAATGTAAATATTTTCGTAGGATAAAATTATAGGAATAAAAACCATGTAATAGCTATAACTGGTACAAATATAGTATAAGTTCAAATGCCCGTAAACTAGGTAATTATATTATTATTATTATTCGCAAAAAATCGTTTTTAGCGCTTCATAGGTTGACCGCGTTAGTAAAGATAAATGTCATGAACCAAACCTCTTAAACTACTATTATTCGCAGTATAACAATCTATATATTATCATTCACATGCATGATCTCACCCATGCACAATTCTCTATATATAGAATCCTAGTACAAAGATGAGTACTTAGTACAAGTTGGATCGAGGAATTGAGATGGAGATTCTACCATATGATACAACTCAGTGACAAAGTAGTATGAATATCTATTAATGGTATTTCTCAATCCTGTCTCTAAAGGACGGTTAACGAAGCAATTTGTGCATGCTTTTGAGTTAGACGAACTAATAACTCGAAGGGATTCAGTCTGTTGATTGAGCAATAGTTTCTAACTATTCAAATATTATGAGACCACAAAAATTTCCTAAAGCATTTTGGGGAAGGAAGAAAAGAAGGAACATACCTTTGTATAAATAAATTGTTTATCAGCTAACATGATGAAGTCCCTCCTCAAAAGGAAAGAGGGACAAGTGGAATATCTTGAATTCTTTGGAACCACAGGGAAAGAGAAAACAGCAGGAACAATGCCAGAAAAGATGTGTATGCAAAGTCTAGGACCATGAATCTGAGATCACTGTAGACCTAGCCAACATGGATCTATGAGGCCTGAAGTCTCAAAAGTAGGAGCCGCAAAAACGAGCAACAAATGAGATTCTCAGCTGGATAGTGTGATTGAATGATTCACAAAAGTGGGGTGCTTAAAGGAAATGATGAGAAAGATGATTGCTTTCTCACCTCCAACAACACAAGGTTAATAAAATGGATGTTTTTCCAGCTATTTTGAGCATTGACAAAACTTTAAGAGCATAATGAAAAGACTCGGTCATAACCATGCATGGATAACACATTCAAAAAGTAGCAAGCTAGACACAATTCCTCAAACTTTGCTGTGATTTTCTTTTCCATATACCAAAATGGAAAAGGAGAAAAGGATAAATTAAGTCCAAATGAGGCAACTACCAGAAGTAATATCTATGAGCTAATAACTGGTTAGGAAAATATAAGGCAGCAGATCTAATGTGCATACATTCATAAATAGTGCATACACAGTTTGTTTAGAATGATTTTCTGTGGTTGTATTTGAAGGTGGTAGAATGAAGGTGGTGTCATCACATGCTAATATAAGTTTATACACAAGGCTGGTATAAGGATCAAGGTTCTTGATGAAGGTCCTGAAGCTCAGATTTACCATTTGAGCCTCCAAAATTGGGGCTATCAGCATTTTCTGAGGATGCTGAATAGGAGAAGCTCCACACAGAAACACAATTTTCATCATCACCTAAACAAGGAAAACACAATCATATTTAGAACTTCTCATGTTGACAGGAGGACATGAATGGTTTTTGTAATCAAGCAGACCAGTATAATAACAAAGAGCATTTCATACAGCAAATGCAAATGTTGACTTGATCTGAGCAGATGTGACCTAAGCATTTTAGCAACTTTATTAAAAAGGGAAGCAAGTAGGACTAAGAAGCATGACAAGAAGTTTGTTTCTCAGAAAGTGGTGCATGGGAATGAGGAATCAGACATATTAAAGCATAGAAGGAGAAGATATGGCAACAACAATGAAGATATTTCATTGCAAATGACTACAAAAGTTTGAACACATAATACTTTGGGGCATTATTCCAACAATGTAATGTGAATAAATTTACCAGTAAGGAGCAGATCCTCGCAGGCGTCATCTAAAACTCCAAATCTCCGGTGGCCTGACGAAGAGGCAGCCATTGGCAGGAAAGGATGAAAGGAAAAACCATTCACCGTGTCTGAAATGGGATAAGCTGAGTAAGAAATAGAAGAAAATAGGTAGACCTTCATCCAACATAAGCTTTCTGTATATGAACATAAAGAAGTACCTGATGCAGCTCGGAAGCTGGACACCCACTGTCCAGTTTGAAGATTATAAATGTGAACTGAGCCATCCTAGACAGACAAGCAAGCACGCAATATGAGTTCTTGAATTTAATTTTGAAAGGTGATGTAATTTTTAACAAAGTAGAAGATTACCTGTCCTCCAGAGCCAAGATGCTGACCTTGAGGTTCAATATCAAAATATATGCGCTGATTGGTAGTTTCTGATGATCTGTACAGCCTTATTAAATAAAATAGAAAAGGGAACTTTAGAAACTTGATCACTGAAGCACTCAGTCACCATAACTTCAAACTTGCACAAGTATCACTATAGCTAATTATTGAATTCATGCAAATGGATACTCTCAACATGGATAGCTCGAAAATCTGTGACTATTGGCTGGATAATCGCTATAATACCAAGATAATATAAATCGTTCTTCCATTTTATAGAATGTTGAGCACGTAGACCAATCTTTTGGAAGAGTTATGCCCCATACATGAAAAAGCACTTCTTCAAGTGTTTGCCCTCGACCATTCCTTTGTACCCAAAATTCGGTATCATGCAAAGGAAAATAAAAGTGTAACTGAGCAAGTAAAATCACAATAAAGTAGTAGAAGATTTACATTACTTCTTACACGAGTCGTGCCAACTAACCACTATGCACCTTCTCCTCCTTAGGTTATCTGCAGTCAAAACGGCTTCCATACCACACACCACATCAAGAATGCAACTTTTGTCGGGGCCGTAGATTTTGATAATTTCTCCACAAAGATCTAGGATCTTCTCCATTAAATAGAAGGATATAGGAAGTATTCATTTCGACCATGATTCTTTCAATACCATCAACTTCCTCAAATTTTCTATGATTGTACAATCTCAGCAGGATTTCCACCTCACTAAATGCCTAATTCTATAGAGGTCTTCTAAAGGATACACCCACGATATCTGAGAACTATCTTTCTTTAGAACCTCAGCTACTGTGATCATCTCCAATGAGAATAGAGTAGGAAATCATCTTTTGGACTATTATCTTGGCACCATAAATTCCACCAATATCATCTTTAACATCCAGCTGCCACCAAGAATCCCCATGAACTTTGTGATTCTTTCTTCCTCCATGATTACTTTCCAAAAGCTTGTCCCATAAGAGGAAATGAACTTGTTTGGTATACTAATATATTGATAACTTCCGCATTTCACATTAATGATTTTCTTTTCTTTTCTATATGTCATTTAATTATCAGATTTCACCTAATCCAGGGTGAGGTAGCTTAGTGAAACCAACAGAATACCGAAACAAGAGAAAGCAGATTTCTACAATTTTTAATAAATTGGTCTCCAGATAACGCAAACAGTATATTCTTGTGAGCTCATCGCTTTGCATGTAAACACTACATATACAAAACAAAAAAGACACTCAAACAACAAGGTACCAACTTCCCACGAAACAATTTATCAGGCCTATGGGGCAAAAGAAAGAAAATTCGAGCAGCATGGCTTTCCAAATAATAGTTGTATCTTTTGCAGGTTCGGCATCAAAGAAAGCTTCTTCTTTTCTTTTTTAATGAAGTGAAATATTATTAAGACATCCAGGGGATGCAGAGACGCAAAGGTTTCAAACTGTCAGCTCAGAAAATACAAAAAACTTATAAAGCTAAGGAGCTGACAAATTTCGGGAAGTGATCTAAGCATATTCTTTAAGGGAGAAAACCAATGAATAATGTTTGAATCTCATGTAAACGCCCCCCCTGCTGAACATGCAAGAGCATGGAAAGAATACAGAGATGTTTTCAGAATATAGACAGGATTTCAATACTTTCAAGCAATAATCATTTATTCCACCCTTAAACAAAATAGACCACTTCAGATTATAAAAGAATCCCTCTCCAGGAAAACATCATATGAGCATATATAGTGTTGTTTTACAGGACAAGGAAACTGCTAACGGATTATCACGTTTCTAGCAAGAGAGTGAGACATCAGACACAAGAAAGTTGAAGAGGAATGCATTTCATTAGTTTCTATATTGAACAGAAACAAAACCATCCAGTCAATCATTCCAACACTCTTGTTCCCTCAATATCCAGTCAGTAGAAAGGAACTTACTTGTAAACAATTTCAACAGTCTTCCGAATGTCCCAGCACAGTATGTAAGGGTCCTAAAACAAGTTTGAGATGAACTTGGTCAAATTATGCTTAATACAAGATGCATGCATGATAGAGTAGCACTAGCGCATGTGGCGATATAGAAGAAATGAGTCCGAAGAGGAAATAGTCAAAGTTTAGATCATAAATAGACAAGTGGGGGAAATCAACAAGTAGAAGAGATGCCTTTTACCTAAACAGGCACAAAGTTTATATTTCTGAATAAAGGAAACAAATACAGCTCTTATTTTAGTTTTATAACTCAAGTGTAACAAACTGCACGCTTATAAGTCTAGAAGGTAGAAGTTCTCATATCTCTGACATAGCTGATATCACATGAAGGCTTCCCTGATGAACTTTAATCAAAGCTTACTATGAAAAGTTTATAAGGGTCATCTACAGCATGGCATAGTCCTCCCTTCCCTAAACCAGCAAATATCTGAAAGTTCCGGAGTGGGTTGAAGCATATATTTACACTCACAGACGAACACAAAACTGAATTATAATAACCAAAACAATGATCTAAAGACTTGTGAAACCCGCTAAATTTGTTGTGTGTGTGTGTGTGTGTGTGTGTGTGAGAGAGAGAGAGAGAGAGAGAAGGAAACCTATTAAATCGATGCTATAAATTTAAAGACAATGTAGTCAATTATACATTCGCCTGGAACATCATATGCTTGCCGACTTTGTTTTGCATTCTCCCTTCTAACATCTTTTGGCACTAACTCCACGGGAACACTAAAGTCATAAATTGCTTTCAAGATCTCACCTCATTTAAAGTCTTAACAGAAGAGAGGAAAGAATAAAAGGAAAGACAAAAATAAAATAAAAGAGATAAGACAGAAGAGCAGGTGCTCGGACCATTAATACAGCAGTATCCAAGTCCGAAATATGGTTACCATTAATTACTAATGAGTAATCAAACTCATTCTCTTGCTCTAATTTTGATATTGTGCAAAGCATTTTTCTGTTTAGCAATAATTTGCAAAATAGCTAATGAGATTGTTAAATTTAACTTTGTGAAACCATAGTTGAAAATGGTAATTGAACTTCAATAATTCTGTAAAACCATTTAATACTTTACCTTATCAAAAAGATTTTGTAAAACCATTGCTCAGTAATCGACTTTAAGACTTTCTTTGATTATTTTTTTTTTCCTATTTTAAGAATCTCTCATATTATGTGGAGTTATTAGAACCTAAATCACTTTCTCAAATTTAGGATAGCTATTTTCGTTTATGCATTACTTTGTTAAATCAAAGTATGCCTAAACTATTCCAATTAGCTGTTCTAAACAGTTTCTGGTCCTGATCTGCCCCAACCCTATCCCAACCAAATAAAAAGCTTGCATAAAAAATGAAAATTGACTCAAATGGATAAGTTCTTCTTTTGAGCTGTCTATACATTCTGGCTTCTTATTTGCTAAAGACTAGAAATCCAGAAAACATTTAAGGAGGCAAGTGCATTGATCCATCATTTATGATGGATAAAATGAGATTCAGATCCAGCATTCTCTTCACAAAGGAAGGAAGGAATAATACAAAAGGATGAGCATCTGTTAAATAGGCATTAAAAATGAACGGTACTGTACCATCATTCAAATTCTTACCTTCCTGCCACCAGTGTACAAGTAGTTTCCATCTTTTGAGAATTGAACCTGATAAGTGAATGTTATGGTTGAAGAATCAATTAAGGATTTGCGTATAAGAAAAAAAAATGAATGACAGCTCTACCAACTTACATGTGTTACCCCACCTTCTTGACCATGCAATACATAGAGAAGTTCCATGTTATCTTCTCTATGTATGGCAGTACTTTGGCTATAGGAGCCTGTAGCCAGCAATCCTGAATGGCTTGGACAGAAAGCAATTGAGGATATAATGCCTAAACAGATAAGCTAAAGGTGTCAGAATAATAAATGTATAATGAGGAATAATGTTGGCATTAGAAGGTAGGAGAATTAATTAACTTCAACTGCACTATCTAGTGTCACTTTGAGAGAACTATCAGATTGATGTGTTTGACACAGATAATCGTCCGCTTCTTGTCTTATTTATAGAGCCAAGTGCTGAAAACTTGATGATAAAGAGAAGCAGCTAGTGGAAAATACCTGATTGCCCTTCTTTATTTCCTTGAAGGGTGGAGTGCTGGGTAAAATCTCTACCAGGCCGATGAATATCAAATATTCTTACGGATTTGTTGTATCCAGCAAATATCCTAACTCAAAAAGAATAAAGAGTCGGTGAAAACTTTCTTTTGTAGAAAATTACCAGCTAATACATAAATAAAGAAAATGAAGCAGATCACAATACCACAAAAGAACTTAGCATTGTAGTGCAAATGAAGTAAGAAGATAGTCAAAGATTAAAGTCTATGAAACACAATGAAAAAACAAAAGGGAAAAGCATCTTTTGGTAGAGCGGGGCATCAAGAGATTCATTAGCAACCACCGAAAATTGACAACTAGGTCTCATTTCTGTCATTCTGATCATAGATTACAGTTTTTCAATAAATCAAAAGAGTTCATTTACGCTTCACTGAGATGGTGCGATATCTACAAAGCTATTGTGATCATACAATGCATTTCCAGATGTCTTTATCAAAAAAATAAATGCACTGTAATCATACTATCAGTCCAGCCAACCCTCTAGACAAGTTGGTACTTCCACTTGAACAAAAAATCAACAAAAGAAATACAACAGAACTTTTGACCCTCAAGAATGCACTCTTTACCTTCAAAAGATCTCCTATCTTGCCTTCCACAAAATATAAAAGATAAAAAAGGAGTTGTCTTCCATAGCTTCTTTTTCTTTGCATCTATTTGATAGAGCGTCTTTTTCTTCATATCCATTTTGAAGATTACCTATCTTGTACTTCGTTAATTCCATTTAATATGGGCACGCGTTTTTTCTTTTGGTTTGTTCTGGAAAAGCTGACACCTTTTCATATTTAGAAACTTTTTAATTTTAATGTTTCCAACTTATCCTCAATAACATACTCTTATAGTAATTGGCATTGCATGTCGAAAGCCACTAGATACTAGTGGTACTTTTGATTGTTATTAGTTTACATATACCCGCGTGAGTGTGCAAGCACACGCACATATTATATATGTATATAGAGAGAGACTTTATGTGATCAAAGTCTTCCTTTCTTTTTTAAACTCTGTGTTCAGTCAAGCACCGCCATAGAAAATGAAAAAGAGGTATATGTATTTGCCAGGATAGCTGAAAATCTCATTTTGATGGCCTCTCTACTAACTCACAGATTACAGCTCAATTAAATCTACCGATTAGATGGATTATCCAACAGGTCTGGCAGTAATAATATTGACTAATCTGGAAAATGTAAATCATGTCCGTGGAAGTAAACCCTTAATCATCAATCATATAAGCAGAAAAAATATTCTGCACTAAACATGCTTAACCTAGTAAACTAATGGGTTCAGAGATCACACAGCATCAGTCATTTTTATAATGTCATGGACTGCAAATAAAAACTTATACCTAGTGTGCTATGTTTCTTGTTTTCTTCTTTTTTTCAAAACAAAACTAAGATACTACAAATAAAATTAAAGAGAAAGGACCAGGTCCCTCTACATGAAGTGTGACCTACGAGGAAGGAAAGAGAAAAGCAGTTTGATAAAAAAATGATTACTTAGTCCCTGCTGGGTTGAAAGCAATTGAGAAGGCAGCAGTGATCTCGTCCATGGCATCATAAGCACGGTAAGTACAGCGTAACTGCAACCACCCAAGAAAAGATAATGAAGGGAAGAATATCTTCCTAGCTAAGCTTGTTGAGCAGCTACACAAATCACGGGTAGGTAGCAACCCATCAAAGAACAAGCGAGAGGAAAAAAATATATGTAGCAACAGTTCTAAAGACGATGACACACTTGTCCAGTAGTAGCATCCCAAAGATGAATAGGGTGATCACGGGCAGTACTTGCAAAAACACATGTCTCTGGACCTGGGTCGTGAAAGAGAACTCTAGTTAATTTTTTCTTATCACAGTCAGCATTACCACAAAAACAAGGCAATTGACATACGTGAAGAAGACATATAGGGATACCAGCAATAGTCATATACAGACTCCCCCTCACTCATGACAAGGCTTGCAGCATAAGAATCTGCAGATAATCAGTCTCAGACTTAAACACAATAAACAACAACATGAGAATGGCAAATCATATCAAGTTTAATACTGAACACAGATGATCGACAAATTTCAACATCAAAAGTATAAAAGGCTTCCACAACGCCTCTTCACATTCAAACCTAAATATACTAAAAGCATCTAAATTTACCTGTATCGGCAGCTGATGAAGAAGTATCAGCAAGCCATCCACTTTCATCATATGGCCTATCAACGAAGCAGAGCCAAACTAAGAAAGCAACTCAATGACAATGGAAATGCTAGAATAACTATGTACCTTTTCTTACTATGTGCTTCATAGTCAGCCTCATGATTACACCAGAAACGAATCTATCTATCTGTCAATCAATCAATTATTTTCCCTAATTCACGAACTCATTAGGGTCAGCTATATGAATTCTCTATATCCATTCCCCTCTCTGTTTAGATAATTCGTCATATCATGAATAATTCTACGCTAGTTTTTAGCTTACCACAACCTTTCTCCTTTTATAAAGGCTTGGGCCAGAACTGCAAAGCTCAGACAGCCAGTTTTAAGTGAAACTTCATCTACCAATAAAATTTTAAGCCCTAGATATCCAATCGCAAAAAGATGAACTAATTCAAAATAATTGTATTTATAAAAGAAAGTACAAAAAAATTAACACTTTACACTTATTCAAGTCTTAAAATTTATAAACTTCACAGTTGTGCCGGGGTAAAAATCATCATTATTTATAGTTGTGGGAGAAAACTTACAAGGTAAAGGAACAAAAGGTATTATCATCAGAGCAAGTGAGGAAGCAAGAACCATCCGGGGACCTATAATTCCAGAAGAAAAATAGATTTAACCATAACATATATAGAAAACAGGGCATAAAAGAAATGGAAAAAGCTAAAGAAAGGAGAAAAGGCATACCATTTGACACCCTTTAAGAAATTGTTAGGGTTAGAAGGAGTTCTGAAATGGTTGAAGAAATGATAGGTTCGATATGGGGGAACATCATATTGAATAACCGGCCAACGGTAAGAAGATTCTTCCGATGGTTTTTCTACAGCTTCTGTTGGGACTTCCATCTGCTCTACAGCATCTTCTTCACCCATTGATTCTCTAATGGGCTGCTGCTCTGAAGCTTCTTCTTCCCCCATTTGATTGATTCACTAAAAATGGCTGCTAACGTTAGTCTGTGAAGAGTGTTAGCGCCAAAAAAGAAAGTGTTTAGGTGGCGTTTTGGGTTTTAGCTTTGGCTATTTGAGAAAGACACTGCCACTGTAAATTGTTATGAATTCCAAGTTGGCATTGCTAAGGGGTTGTTTGGTGCAAATGTATTAAGAATAATGTTGAATAAGATGTATTAGTAATGCATGAATTAATAATGTATGGGTTAGTAATGCAAGTATTAGCTATGCAGAGATTATTTTTTATCCATTGTTTGGTGTGGTGTATTAAAAATTAAAATTCATTGCATAATTTTTAAGAAAATTGTGTGTTTACAAGAATGTCCCCCATATTCTTTAGCTTTAAGAGACTTTAAGGATAGTTTTGCCTTTAACCATGCTAATGCATGCATTAGTAGTCTTGGTATTGCTAATATCATGGTTTGCTATGCATTAGCTATACATAGGATAATACCAAATAGGGTGTATAACTAATGCTTGTATTAGTTATACATAGATTGAAAAAATATACCAAATTATTTTACCTATATTTTTCTGTAATGCACTCTACCAAACGACCTCTTAATTAGTTGTAAGTGGCCAACGTGGTCATATGGTTGCTTTTGATTTCTAAAAAAAAAAAAAGGACAGCCCGGTGCATTAAGCTCTCGCTATGCACGGGGTCCGGGGAAGAATCAGACCATAAAAGTCTATCGTACACAATTTTATCCTGTATTTTTGTAAGAGACTGTTTCCACGGCTCGCTTTTGATTTCTAACCATTCGAGAAAATGTCCTTAATGAGTTAAAATGTCCTTATTGCGACTTCTTTGTTTACTTCCCATGAGCAACATTGGCCCAATGCACTATGCTACATTTTTATAAAAGAGCGCTTATGTTAGAGATCATCTCTAAATAATCCTAAAATTAATCTTAAATCGCCTAAAATCAATAAAAAAAATTATCATAGTATTATCATTCCCAACTGTTAGTTAAAAATTAAAGTTTAAAAGGAGCTTGTTTCACGACAATATTGCACTAATGAGCATGAGTAAATTTTTTATTTAACTATATGTATTGACAAAATAATTTTTCATTTACAATGTGAAGTCATTAATTAAAATAGTTTTGCGCAGATACTCAGATAACACAAACTCTTGTTCTTGATTTTTCAAAGCAACATTTATTTTTACCAAAATTAATTTAACTAAAATGTCACTTACATTCGATAGGAAGGGATATACTTTAAAAGATATTTAATATGCATATATAGAAAATAACACTATGGGCAAGGTGGATACTTGTTCTTTTTCAAGTCAAGTTGGCCTTTCGTTTACTCTTACCAAAATTATTTCGCAAAAATGAATTCTACATGATTTTTGTACAATTTGAATATACAATGATGGAAAAGAAAGATCACTTTTAATTTATAAAATGAGCTTCTTTTGTTTACTCAGAAAAAGAGCTCTACTATTATTATTGTTCAAAGACGGAACGGAAGTCCTAGTTAATTTTTTTATTTTAAATTCAGGCAGATACGTTATATAATCTTTATGAGTTCTGTTTATGGCATTTGTTCTCAAAAATTCAGTTATTGCCCTTTGAAAATCATACAAAGCTTGTTTTATGTGTGGGAAATGAAAAGTATTTTCTCGCATTTAAAGTAGGTAGTTTGATTTAAAAAAAAAAATTTCGTAAAGAGTAAATGAAAGAAGAGTGAGGAGCACCTATTNTTTTGTGTTATTAAAGTCCCTACCGTTTTACTTTGGTTTTTAAAGTGCCCCTCAGATGTTAGTTTATTAGTAGGATATTATTTAATACACGTGTAAATATCCTATTGGTCTAAAATCATCCACCCCATATCTAATTCAAAACTAGCCGACCCAACCCTTTTAACCCGACCCACCCCAGCCCCTTTAACTTAAATCCTCTTAGTCTTCCCCCTCTAACCTAAATCGATCTACACAACTCAGAGAAGAAGCCATTTTAGGGTTCTTCCACAAAATAGGTTGGGTGCTCCATTTTCTCTCACTCTCGCCTTATCTATTGTCCGAAAACTTGATATGTCAGAAGGCAGTTATTCATCGAAGAGGAAGTGTCTTTATGGAGAAATTGCTAACAATTTTACTTCGCCGACTCCTTTAAATCCTGGGAGGAGATTCTATAAGTGCCCTAAACCGGAAGTAAGTGATTATATATCGGTCTTGTTTGAATTTTTCTTGCTTTTGACTGATTCGTTGCTAATGTTCATAAGTAATTTTTTTTCGGATTGTTTTTTAGGATAGTTCATGTGGTTATTGGGAATGGGCAGAGGACCTTGTCCCGGACAGAGCGCTCGTTGTAATCAACAAGTTGAAGTGTGAGTTGGATATGGCTAATCTTAAAATCAATAATTTAAATTCGTTGTTGGATGATGGCAAGATTGAAAAGGACAAATTGAAGAAAAAGTAGTTGCGATGAAGGCAAGAAATAATCTTCTAGTAACGAAACAATTGGAGTTGGAAGATAGAATTCTCAAGATGAAGATCTTCATTACGATTCCATGTGCGCTATTTGTAGGATTTATTGCTGCTATTATCAAAAATTGAAGCTAAATTGGGAATGGACAGTGAAAGTTAATGGACATTGAAAGTTCTTTTCTTGTAGATGTGTTGTTTCTCATGAATATTTGCAGCTAAATATCGGATGATGTATTTTAAGCCTTAACTTTTTGTATCTTACTTTTTGTAACTTGTTTAAGCTATATATCGGATGATGTATCTTACTACTTAAATCTATTTGTTCCTACTTTTGATTATGACTGGTTATAAATCTATTCGCAATGTTATAAAGTTTGGTTCTTTGGACGCTTAAAAAGTGATGCCTTAGGAATGAATGCAACAGCCTATATCAATCATTAAATAAAGGCTAAATTTATAGCTGAACATATGCTGAAGACAACCATATGCTTATATTCCGAAGACAACCTAATATTTAATGTATTCAATAGCTGATATCTCACTATATCATAAATGCACATGGCATATTCAATATATCAAATAATTGAACATATGCTGAAGACAACCTAGTAGACAACAACATGTAAATCACCACACAACAGCATGTAAATCACCACACAAGGACTAAATCACCACACAACAGCATGTAAATAAAGGCTAAATTTCATAAATGCACATGACATATTCAGTTTCATAAATGCACATGGCATAGGTGGATGCAATGTTATAACCCCAAAAACTTATACAACCTGGGTTATAATATGGCATCCCACATTAAGTTTCACCAACCAAAAATAAAAGGTAGATAGTACTGTCACAAAGCAGTAATTACATCCAAAATAGTTTCCATCTAATTATATTACAATAGATTTCACTTTTTTCCCTTTTTGGGCTTCAGCTTCTCCATTTTCTGTCTACTTTGCATTTCCAGCTGGCTTCCTGTTAATGCAATTTTTCTCTTCCATCTGAGGCCTAGTGGTTTGAATGGCAGATTTGATGGAACACTAACACCATCATGATCCCCCCCTGAAAGTTATTTCCCTTGATCCTGAAGGTTGAGATGGATTCTACCTTGCTTGGAGTCTTGTTCCTACTTCTGACATAGTTGTTGGCCTTAAAGCTGGATCTGGAACATGATCTGGAGAGTCAAAGTCCGGAAATTCACTGCTGGACTGAGTGTAAATACTTTGTGTAGGCATAAACACAAAGTTTGAGCCTTCACTTTGTTGATTAGACTGGGTAGGCTGACTGGCTTCAGGTGCAGTCAGCTCTATTTCCTCTTCATCAACCAATGTTGTGTTGTTTGTTCTTGCCATCTTTTCCATGTGTGGCTATTGTGTAAATATAAAAAAAATAAGTTAAATACTACTAAATAGGACACTAATAAGTTAGAAAAAGTAACCATTACCGTCAAACAACCTCTAGTATTATGATTAGGCGCTCCACAATTACTGCATGTCATGACTCTCCCGTTCCTGGAAACTCCCCACTCATCTTGCCTTTTGATAGCCTCATGTTTTTCTCTTTTTCTCTTAATTTTAGGTATCCCAGCCATCTTGACTAACTCGTGTGGTTCCATTGCTTGAAATGGGTCCACTGTACAGAACTTCTCACCTTTAACTGGTTGCAACTTATGTTTATAGGTTAGCAAGTATGCTTCCTTGCTATACCACCAGTTGAAGTCCTTGAAAGGATCCAGCTTCTTATGTTGTATGGACTTAATGGCATGGGGGCATGGAATTCCAGTAAGATCCCAAGTCATACATGTGCATTTCTTCAAAGTCATGTTAATAGTATCCCTGTCCAGCCCTTCTGAAACTTCATAGCCTAGGTCATCATTGGAATGAACATGACACTTGTTAGCTATCTTCAAATACTCCTTGTACAATTCCAGGCTATGTGGGCTGAGTTCATGTCCTTTTTGTTTCTGTATCCACTACTGCCAAAGCTATAGGATATGTTTGGTTATTACTGTCCAGTCCAATAGCAATTAACAACTGTCCTCTAGCTTTTCCTTTTAAAAATATCCCATCTAAGCCAATAAATGGTATCAAACCTAAATTAAAGCCCATCTTGAGAGCTTGAAAGCAAATATACATTCTCAGAAACTTTCTTTTACCTTCAGCAAGTGCATCCTTTGACAAGTTAATGACAATATCACTCCCTGGGTTAGTGTCCCTTAGCTCATTGGCATAAGCCTCAAGTTTCTTATAGTCATATGTAAAACTACCTCCCAACTTCTCCAAAATCAGTCTTGTAGCCCTTTTGCACTTTCCATAGCTAACATTTACATTAAACAATTGTTTCAGAACTTTTCTCATCTCCTTAATCTTGTACTTAGGATTTTCTTGCACCTTCTTCTTGAAGTAAGTTGCTATTGTTTGATAGTCAACCCTAGTGTTCTCAAATGCTTTTTCACATGTATGTTCATCTCTTAATGTCTTTATCCTAACTCCAGGAAGGTTTCCATCCCCAGAAATCAGAACAACAAAATGGCAGTCACCAACACAATGATACCTTAACCTTTTTTATCACTTTTATCCACTTTTAAGTCCTTTTTGTTTTCCAAGGAATAGAAATTAATGCATTTTCTAGCTTCAGGTAT